CTTAATAATAATAATTTTCCCTTACATCCATTCATTATTAAAATAACAAAAATCAATTATATTAAAATATTTGTACGATACATCATTATCTACGATAATTAAGGAAAATAAACTGAAACACATACATAGTGCAGCCTGTGTCAAGATTTGTGCAGAGAGCGAGTGAGAGTGTCCGTGTCTGCTGTGATGCGAATACGAGTAGGCAGAGGTTGGGATCGGATCAGACTCGAGCGGCGAACGAGTGCATTACGGGTGTCGATTGCCAGGCCCATCCCTTGACCAGATCCAGACAGACCACCAGAAAGCGAGGGCATTGAGAGGCTCAACGGTTATGACCACGTCTGCAGTTGACCCTGTCCTTTCGATCACTCCGCATCACCCATCTCAAAATCAGCAAAGTCCGCCATTTCCACTTCGCGCACGCCACTGCACGTTGTGTACGAATATCCGAAGGGCAGCCATACAGCGAACTATAAGCAGAGGGCGAGTCGGATTCACTGTAGTCGTCAGAATCAGTGGTAGATGCCGATGAAGAGACACTTACGGTACTTACAGTGTATGACGAGCTGCCTCTGCCTTGTTCTTTTTCAAACAGCATTCGTGACGAAAGAGGATGGATGCGTTTTCGGATCGTTTGATGTAGTCTTCGTCACTACGTTTTAGTCGTTGCTCCGTCCCTACGAGTTGAATTACGCGTGTATGTGGGTTGTAAGATTGCACAAGTTGTAGAGGTTGCTGTTGCGCTTGTGACACAGGTTGTGAGATTGACTGGCTGAAAGTGTAAGTGTGAGCGTTGGCATTGGCGTGAGTGGATAAGTGGATTGAGGAGATGGACACACTGCGACAGTGCGAAGCAAGTGTGAGTGGTGCACCGGGGTTGAGATCCGGAGCGTTGAACGAGCTGATTTGGGCCACAGGCAAAGCCGTGTTTGTACGCGCGCGTTGCATGCTCTGACTACGTCTCACAATCAGAAGTACAGTGGGCTGAGTAATTATGGATAGCTGCAAAGGTGTATCTCTGGGAGGTTCTGGCTCAAAGAGAGAAAGTGAAGTGGAGGGTATGGACAGACTCAGCAGAGGGGTGAGTGGTCGACCACTCCTTCCGATATTCGAAACAGTGTCATGAACAGCACTGGGGAATGTAAAGGCACGTCAAGCTTGGAACAGTGGGTGGGGAAGGAGAGTGCGTACGGCGTCAAAGACAGGGTACCATGGGAGTGGTCGTACCTAGACGTTGTCGCGAGCATACTCGTAGATTGTTGCTTGTGCTGCAAAGCAGGAAGAAGTATGCGAATGCATGGAGTTATTGAAGAAGTTGTTCGGCATTGGTCAATAATGCGGATGCACGCGCGAATGCAAAAAGGAAGGTGAGTGTAAGGAAAGAAGGGCAATAACAGAGAGGCAACGCAAGCAGCAGAACGAGGAGCAGAAGGGATGGAAGGGAGACAAGAAGTTGGGAGGAGAGGGATGAGCAACTATTGTGCAGGCGATTATGAAGTGGACTGGCTGCTTACTGCTTTACGTTGAAGGACAGTGTAGTCAGCTCGGTGGCACAACATGGGATCTGAAGCTCAGTACAGGCACTGCAACAGTAGATTGGAGAGACGAGTTACGGCAGTATTTATTGTCTGTGTTGTTGCAGGCAGAGTGCCTGCTGATAGGATGCTTGCAGGCAGAGGACTGGACTGGAGAAAACAAAAGCAGCAACTTAGCGTTGAACGGGTGGCAGAGAGTTGTAGGAGATGGTGGAGGCATGAGATAAAGAAGTGACAAAGACAAATGCGTCATTATAAGCACTCGATCTTCAGCAGTCGATTATGTAATCAATGTTCGTGATAGTAGCAAAGCTGTAAAACAAATCAATTATTGTATTTAGATGTAAAATAAATGTATAAATTTACTTTATAATATAGCTAATAGTACTCTAGCATGTATATATTCTCCTAAATACAGTAATATAAATATTATAAGTAGTTGAAACCCTTATACAGATAACACAATCTGTTTTACAATGTAAATATAAGACTATTTTCAAAATTATAATCTAAGTATAATACTTTAGCTTATAATGTAAGGTTATCATAATGTATTCAATGAATTGTAATGATTCATAACACTCTTAGAGTCTTTATATACATTAATATACCTTATTTTATCCTTATAGTTGTGTTCTAACCCTTACATATGAATTACAATGTATATAAAATGCTAATATTTCTTTAAATGGACTGTAATTCATTATATTTAAATG